GTCAACCTCACAGTGAACAACTTAGACCGTCAAATGTTAGATAATACTAATAGTATGCATGGAGATAAAGAACTAATGGAGGTCGAGATGGTGGTTAATATTGTACCTCACAAAACCAAATCATAGAATTTACGAGTACACACAATTTTCTAGTATGGTAAACTAAAGAGATTACAAGGAAAAAAAGTAGGTTTTTATAACATAAAAAATTGATTTCGATATACTATAGTTTCATGTGTAAATCAATGATTATTAATATTGTAAACCTTGATTGTATAGTAAAAATTAGTATCATTTTAATTTAATATGCAATTTGTACTGCATATAATTAAATTTCTAAAAATAAAAAAAATTCAACAATTCATCACAAGTACATATTTTTTAAAATACTAAATCTTTTCAATAATGATTGCTTCATTAAATTATGGGAAACCTTTCATATATTATATTTACAATTTTTATTAATTAACTTTGAATTTGATAATTTTAATTTTCTGCATAACTCGTGAGTTTATTGTATCGTATTGTAATAAGAATAAGTGAATAACCCTCATGTATGCTAGATAGTGACTAGGTGGGTGCAAGTGATATAATACTCTAATGCAAGAAAGAGAAGAGCTTATAATACTTATAATTATAGAGGTAAAATGTCATATAGATTCTATGAGTCATGGATTTTCTCTTTGCTTCTTTTCTAGTAATTATTTTAAATATTAATAGTTTTAGACAATTTGTTCATGTAGCAATTTATTTGACAATTGAGAAGTAAAAGGTGACTATTGATAAAGTATAATCAGAATCACTTAGGCACATATATGCTTGAAGAGTTATTCTCTTTCACTCCAATATTTCTAGGTTTTTACTATGGCATATGATGAGTTATATAACATTCTCATTTCTGAAACAAAATTTGGCTCTCTGTAAGAAATAATTATAGTAGATAAATGATAATATATTAGCACTTAGTAAGGATCATCATCATCATCGCCATTGTCATTACACTTATTTAAGAATGACAATAATGATGGCTTATCATCATCAGCAACATTAAGCTTATCCCAACAATTTGGGGTTTGTTACAGAGAGCACATTTAGCACGCAAGTCCTTCATCAAATATAAGGTTTGATAAACCTTTGAAGTTTGGGAGTGTCTAATGGAGAGTACAGATGTACCAATAACACAACAACAACAACAACTTCAAGTCTTTATCCCACTACGTGGTGTCGATTATATGAATCATTTTTCTCCACTGTTTCCTATTAAGAAATTTTCATTTAAATATAACAAAGATTGGTCATTTCTAATATTTTCTAACCAAATATTTTTTAGATCTATCTCTACCTTTATTAACACAAGTCAAATCTAATACATTTACTCTACTAACTGGTTGTCATTTTATGTGACCAAACCATCAAGGGCAACTCTCTCTAATCTTACCTTCCATTGGAGCTACTCCAACCTTTTCACACATAAGCTCATTTCAAATCCCATCTCTAAGAGTAAAGTCACTCATCCACCTGAGCATCCTCATCTCTACAACACTTAACTTAATATTATGCTTCTCTTTTAATGGCCATGATTATGCACCATAAAGCATTGAAGGTCTCACCACCATCTTAGAATTTTCCCTTAAGTTTGAAGATGTCTTTTCTATCACACAACAAGCCCAATGCATTCCTCCACTTCAACCATCCAATTTTAATTCTACTAATAATATCCACATCTATTTCACCATTACTCTGAACAATAGACCCAATATATCTAAAATGTATACTCTTATTAGTGACTTGATCGCCCAAAGTAATAATCATAAATCTATTACTATTAAAATTACACTCTATATATTTAGTTTTAGATATACTCAAAAGAAAACCTTTAGATTCTGAGGTTGACCTCCATAATTCAAGTTTACCTTCAACTCCCTCTCTAGTCTTATCAACAAGATGAATTTTTTCAGCAAAAAGCATACACCAAGGTACAACCTCTTACAAATGTCTAGTGAGAACATTCATGACTAAATCAAAAAGATATGGGTTTAAGGCTGTTCCTTGATGTAATCCAACTAAAATAGAAAAATACTTGGTCAAACCACCTTGTGTTTGAAGTTTGAACACAAATAATAGTTCCTGCATGCATATCCTTGATGACTTGAATATTAGCATTATCAACCCCTTTCTTTTCTAGAACTCTCCACAACACTTCTCTTGGAACTTTATCATATGGTTTCTCTAAATCAATAAATATCATAAGTAGATTCTCCTTATTCTCTCTATACTTCTCCATCAAACCTTTCAATAAATGTATAACTTCCATAATATACCTACCTAGCATGAATCCAAATTGATTTTGAGAAACACACGTATCACATCATAACCTATGCTCCATAACTCTCCCAATAACACAAGTAAACAAAATTATTGTGAAAGGATTAGTATGGAAAAGGGGAACAACAATGATAACACAACTAGAAATAGTGCAAAAAAAAAGAAAAAGAAAAAAAAAGTTAAACCTCATATAACATTCAACATGAGTGAATGGACAAGGTTTTATAAATCCGACCTCAAATGTTGGGATAAGATTAATAGTGAGGATGTTGAAACATCATAACCAAGATCCATATGCTAAACTAATAACTGGAGTAATATGCTCGATGCAAAGTCAACCATATAAACAAATTGTTTATCATGTCTCTATTCTTTATTATTTTTTTTAATATTCTACAAGGAATCAAATTAGGGGTGTAAACAAGCCAATCCAAGCTCAAGTCACCGCTAGCTTAGGCTTGATTAATTAATCAAGTCTGAGCTTGAGCTCAAGCTTTATTTTACGAGTTCGAGCCGACATTTATTTTGAAAGAGAGAAAATAATTATGATTTAAGCAATAACTATAATAAAATGGTAAAAAAAAAGAGAAATTAGAGAAAACTAATAAAGAATCACTTAATATAATAAACTAAGATATAAATTTTTAATATTTTTAACAATTTTGTACTTAAAATCCTGAATGCTAATATATTTTAAGTTCATTTTATATTAACATTTTTTCAACGAGTCAACTCACGAGCTAATGAGTCGAGTTAGAGCTAGTTCAAGCTTGGCTTGTAAGCTCATCGAGCTCAGCTCACAAGCCATTATCGAGTCGAGCTTGAGTCTGCTCACGAGTCAGCTTGACTCACTTACACCCCTAAATCAAATCAATGTTTCTAATAGTTTTACATCATCATGTATCCAACATGGTATCTATGAAATATTTTTATCCCTAAAGAATTGAAGATGGAAATGGGATAATAAGCATGTGTATTAATGGCTCTTCCTCATTGCACACATACAAAACATCCCACTCAATTTTCCATCACCTTATTGCTATTCCACTTCTACAATTTCTCTACTCCATAATGCAAAACAAAAATGATCATGGTTCATTACAGGGCCCATAGAAAGCCTAGTAGTCAAATAAAGTAGGTTTTGATGACTATAAGTTGATTAGTTCTACTAGAACAATTAGCACACATGAAATACAAGAAAAAATAGGTGAAAATGATATACAACGGATCCCTTACAATTTTGTTAAAAATGTAATTTGAATAGTAAATTTATTAAAAGTACATTGTGTTAAACGCCAACCAAAAGCTCATTCACTTGCTTATGAAAAAAAAGGAATAGAAGGGAATATACTTTCACCTTTAAGGAATCTAATTATGAAATTCATCCTCAAAAGATGCCCACCAAACAAACATCTAACACTCACAGTTACATAAATGCGGAAAATAACTTTTTTTTTCATTTGCATTGATTGATTCATACAACTTTCAAGAGAGAGGATCAACTAAAAGATCAAAAAAGGTTGGCAATCACAAAGGCCAAAAGGTAAATAAACAAAACAAGAAGCTTTAGAACATACTGGATGAAGTTGTTGCTACACAATCAAAGGATTCAATTTGAAAAGGATATAAAGAGTCGTAGCATTCTGGAAAAAACAGGGTGCTGGTAAAATGATCTAAAGATGGCAAGCATTATAATTTACGTAATATACATAACATAACATATTAAGAGCAAATAAATGGCAAGTACAATCAACTATTAGAAGGTTAAAATCAATGGTGAGCTGCCAATAACACTGGAAAAGATTCCTGAGTGACTTGCAACATAAATGCAACATAATTATAATTAACTTATGTTTCTAAGTTTAGATCAAATGCTTGAAAGCTCAATCATTTGCAAAGTCAACAGAAGAACAAATTAATCAGCAAGCGCCATCAGAAATGTCAATTCCATATAAAACTCTAGAATTCAAAATTCAAAAAGATGCAAAGTCTAGCACAATCTGAAGTTCAAAAATATCTTACAATTCTATATTGTTTAACAATGTCCTGAGGTCACTAAGCAGTTCAAAAATGGTGAGAAAAAAATGCAATAAAGAATAAAAGTTACATCGACAACAAGACATGCAAATAAATGCCGAGCCTTGATATATGATTTTGACAAAAGGTACTATTATGGTGCGGCCAATGTTTTAAACGGTGCTTTTGCTGCTTGCCATGGGGCACGATGGCAAAAAATAACCCCAAGAAATCAGTGAAGGCAATTGGTATATAGGGAGTGCCAACCACATGCAATAACATAATTAAGATTAAATTATAACTTGCTAAATCTATAGCAAATATACTTACTATCTAATTAAATAAAGCTAGAGATTAACAGATTATTTGTCTTTTAATATCTCATTTTGCTTGATTTTATATGTTTAAATCAATTAAATTTTAGTGTTAGAAAATAAATATATGATAATGAACTATACATTATAAACATTTATTTCAACATTTTTCTTATATTTGATGTCTTAGTTATATTTTCTTTTTAGAAAATGTTAAAAGTACAAAATTCATGGGGATAACTCCTTGCCTCTTGATAAGTAAAAAGCCTCATATTTTAAAACAATAAGTGAGACAAATAAAGTAATTGTTAAAGTAACCAATTGGAAAGTAAGAGATTCCCATACCAAACTCTTGTAATAAATTGCATCTTTGGAGGCTCGAAAGGATAGTCACCTGCCAAAATAAAGAATAAATCCAACTTCCATTTGCATCTTTAATTTTTTTTATTAATTAATCACAGAATATAGTTTGTGAATAAAAAAGCATGTATCCAATTTGTATGAATAATCAACTCAAATGAAATGGATCACCTGCTAAAGAAAAAATAAGTGACCAATTAAAATAATCACATAAATAGAATAGAGAACAAGAACAAATCTAAAGATTCAATTGAACTTTTGCTGCCTCTTGTACGGAACTTGATTCCATAAGAAGATACTAATATATGTCAAAACCCACAATGATGTTACCAGCTTCGATCTTATTTCAAGAAAAGCCAAGAAATTAAGGGCCTATTTGGTTCACTGACATCTAAATGTTATTCCATATGTTTACTTAGTTGATATCTCTATATAAAAAAGTCATAAATGGTCATTATGTCCCAAGTCAATGAAATCCAGATGTCATCGAAATTGACCAACATTTAGAAATGTCTGAAATCATGATATTTCATTATTTACAATCCAAAAAAATGGCATCTTTAAAAACAATAACACTAAAAAAAGCACACAATATTTAACATAAATCACTGATATAAACTAACATTATCATCTAAATAATATTGAACCAAACAACCTCTAAAACTTAACAGGAGGAAAACTAATGGGTACGAGTGGGATTGATTTCTATTGCACTCAGATGAAGAAACACATGAAAAAACAACAAAGAGGCCTTCTTGCGAATGCTGTTATTTAAAATAAATCAAAAGACCAACTTTAATGAAAAGTAGTGGACATGGACCTTCTGCCTGTAAATTGTTCTTAGTTCCTAAGGTTTTGATCTATTGACCTTTCAAGAGCCCGAACATATAATAACCTCCAAGCTAAGCGACCTTGTGGTATGGAAATCTTTCCACGTTTTATATCAATTACACTACAATAAACAAGCCCAATGGAAAAAAAAAAAAAGAAGAAGACAGAATCATATTCCGACCGCAACAACTCTAAGTGTAATGACTCGCAAAATCAATCCGTTTCACCAATCTTTCCAGTCTGATCAATATGTAAACCATGACATTCAACAGAATGACTAGAAACATAAATATAAGAAAGCATTCAAACTTCTAGGTCGAATTGCAAGCTAAACTTGAAGTCGGGTAAAAATAAAAGAATCCCCCACGCTACCGCCAAGAGGTAAGAACCCGCCAATCGACATCTAGAACAATAACATAAATAGCAAAATCATTAAGGAAAAAGGAGGGCAAAAGACTTAGTTTTCGATGGATATTTTCCTTAGGGCAAACCATCCATCATTGTGCTGCTATTAGAATGGTCGAGAAGCGTACTGGGTAACTGGATGTCGATGATGAAGGTTCCCCCCTCATAAGGCGTGCCGAGAGGACCACTGATGGACCCACAGAGGTGGGTGAGGTTTGCGCCATCGTGCAGGTCGATGCTCACACCGGAGATTGCCGTGTCGCGGTTGCACTCCACCAGTTCCTTCTGCACCCTCGTCGTGTCCAACATCCTCCCTCCCACTCTTCCTCTCTCTATCTCTCTCCCTCTGTGTCGGTTGCACTCGACCACCTCTTTCCACAGCCTCCGACGTGTTCAAAAGCAAACGATTGGTAGATGGAAAATAAATGGAGGAAAGCTTGGGCGTCGCTCCAGGTATCTTCTTTTTCTTCTTCAGCCCTCACACTGTTCCTCCCGTCCTTCGCTTACTCTGGCAAAAGGCAGATGCGAAAGCAGTCAAAAGAAATGCGGAGAGACAAAGAATCGACGCCACTCAGTTATGGCGACGAGTCGACGCCAGCAAAGGAAGACAAAAACAGGTCGACTTCTAATCATTCTTGTTATGCTAATGCTCTATCTTCTAATCATTTTTGTTATATAATTGTTGTAGTTTTATTATTTGTATTAACTCTATTCAATTTTTGTTCGAATTGTTTCCATTTTTTTTCAAACTCATCTTTAAACCATTATACATTATTCGAATAATATTCAAATAGGACTTGACTTTTTTCTCCATTATAGTCTTAGGCTTCGTTCGACTTCGTTCGGAACGACTTTTTAATTGATTCTTAAAGCAGAATTTTAGTACATAAATTTTTAAAAAAAGAATAAAAAAGTCGTACCAGACGAAGCCTTAACCTCGATCAAATCTACTTAAAAATTGTATTTGAACCAACTTTGATTGCCACCAAATTTAAATAGCAATTTGTAAGCAAAACTAGAGGAATTTTGGTCCTCAAGGAGCTTTCAATTATATTTTCCAAGTAAAATTATATTTGACAAGGAGCAATGATCAACAAAAATATCTTAAAATCTCAAGCAAATATAATTTGATTATAATAGAATATTTAGGTTTTATTTGATACAGTTTTTTTGCCACTTCTTCAAGTAAATTTTTAATACAAATATTTTATATTTTATACTGAAAAATTGCTTTAAAAAACATAAAAAAAACCATCCGAAACGAAACCTTAATCTCTGAAATCTTGAGCCAAATCTTGAATTTATTTTATATACTTTGATACAAAAGTTCTAAATATAGGCCATTAGTCTCTCCATGCATAGTTAAGCTAAAAGTTAACATAAAACATTTATCCATTGGGAAAGAAAAAAATTTGATAACTTTGCTACAAAACAAATAATTTAAACTTGGTCATGAAACTAAGGGGTATCTGACATTTAAAAAAAAAATTGTTTTATAATTATTTTTATTTTTTAAAACAAAACGAATAATTTTCAAAAAATATTTTAATATTTTGAATTTTTTTAAAAACAATCACAATCATCAATTAGTGCCATCAACAACCACCTTGTTGGCAACCACAGCCTCCCTTACTTAATTCAGTAATTTGAGGTTGAGTAAAGTGCAAAATAGGATAAATTATGGAAGTAAAGTGCAAATTTCCCTTTAGGGTAAGATAAATAATGATCATTTTATTCAACATGGCTATAAATTAAACTGCTTTTACCCTAATGATATATTCAGAAAATCAAATGAATAATCTAAAACATATGTGAATTCTTATGCAGAATTGTTCTTTGATTGGAGTGCTGCAAGGCTGGTCTCAAAGCTTTATTCCAAACCTATTTCAGCAAGATTCATGCATATAGGATGATGAGGAAATTAAGGTTTTGTTTGGGAAAGCATTTTTGTTGCTTCTTAAAGCTGATGTAGAGAAAATAAAATTTTTTTTTTCAAATGGTTGTCGAAAGTAATTTCCTAGCATAAATTTTTATTGAAAGCAACAAAAAACTAATTGACAAATAGAAATTAGAGTTGTGGTCTGAAAAACAAAATAGTAAGAAAGCAATCCCAAAGAAGATTAATTATTCTGTGCGGACACTGAACGCCTTCGGAAAACCAACTAAAATGCACCACGTCATCCATTTGTTGTGTACAACGGCTCAATACCGCTGACATGTCTGCACCTGATTCGCCTCCGAACGTAGAGCTACTTTCGGCCTCTGCACAGAATAGCTTCTCCCCAAACAAAACCTAATTCTATATAACATTAATATTTTTGTTATTGACAAAACAAAGACAAATGTTCAAAATAAACAGCTAACATCTATCTATCTGTGTAATACAACCAAATCACTAAGGAAGAAAGCTATCAGATTTTGTTGTGCTCAACAAGATTTGGGCAGTATTAATATGAATAAAACCATTTTGACATTTTGATATTATCTGTAAATATGTAACATTAAAATGTTAAACATCCAAATGATTTACTTCATGCAAATGATTTACAGCATTTCCTTCCAAACACTCACACCTGTAAGTTGGCTTTGAACACAAGAACAGATGCCTTTTCCAGATATAACATACTTCTTGTTCCACAAATTTATCACAGCAAGTTTCATTATTGAGTACAACTGCTAAATAAAGCATAGAAAAAATAACATTTTTATTTATTTTCATGTATCCTCAGTAATGAATGTTATGGCCTGTAGTGCTGAAGGCAATAATTGTTCTAAAAATCATAACATACCTGTTGTCTGAGCCAAAACTTCCATGAAAAGAAAAAAACAGAAGTTGCTGCTCATAATCAGAGTTCAAACGTGGGAGCTTCTTCTGTGAATCCTCGAGAGACCTGGTAAAGAAGTCTTGGCAACAAATTCCTGAATGGGTCTTGCTCTCTCTTCTCCTTCAGATAGGAAATGCAGTTTTCAACTTGGGATTTGACATGCAAATATATTTTTTGGGCTTCCCCTCTATCTAGAGATACTTTCTTGAGTCCTTTAGCCACAATTTGCAGAAGAAACATCAGGAAAACATTAGAAGAGGGGAAGGATGGTAATACTTATGCTATCATGTTTCAAATATGCAAGCTTTTTTCATTAATCCAAAAGGTGAGTTATGGTATATTTATCAAATGAATGACAGATTAATTATGACTGTTAACTAGTGACTAATAATTATGACACATTGATTTATCAATTATTGTATATTCCGAAGCAACCTTAAATTTTTTTTTTCAACAACAATATTTTTAATAAATATTATTACAATCATCCCTCTAATATAATAATTTGATCATATATCTTCCTTAGGTTTGACACACATCCTATTAAATTTAGTTATTAGTAACGTTTTACCACCTAATACTCAAATTAATACAACATAACTAGCCAAATCATAACTTTACAAAATATACCATTCAAGTCTGCATCAAATTCTCTTATTCTCTTCTGATAAAGTACTCTTAATGCAATTCATCATTTTAATCACTCAGTCTTTACTCTATAACCTATATTCTCACCTATATACTTATTCTTCTACATAATAGTTTAAAAATAATAAAACCCATCGCACCAAATTTATTTGCATAATATAATGCTTAAGATATACTTTATATGAAAACAAGTTGTAGACCTAATCCAGTATTAGTTTCATGAAAAAGCAAACAAAACTCCACTAGAAAGGCTAAAGATTAAGGAACCTTTTGTTTCAATTGGTTTCCCAAATAAGTAATAAAACCTCCCCGGGATCTTAGGCAACAATCCAGGCAGGTGAAGTTCTTGATTTCCAACCTCTTCAGCAGAATTGGCCCTGTTCATGTGAGATGTACAAAATATGAGCATATATGGCAACGTTTTATACATATAAAATAGTGAAGAAAGAAATCTAAGCAATCAATATAATGGAAAATTTAAACATGATTTTTTGTTTCACGTAAAGATTTTCTTAGCTTCAGCAGCAAAACATTCGCTTTTATGGCACATAAATTCTATATTAGAAAACACGAAGGCTCATATAAGTCCATACAACACCTATAAGAATTCCAACGAATTCCAACTTACAACACATTGGAATCAAAATCAATATAAGACTGAGTTTATGTATGCCCAATAATACTTCATTAATTAGTATATCGTTGTGATCATAATACACTACTTCCATAACATCCATACCCTGTTAAATGATTGTCCATACTCCATTTCATACTATAGCATAACATAAAGTTTTTGGATACCACTGTTGGTTCTAATGAGTGGCTTCCATGTTTCCTTTGGTTGAACTTGGATGAGAGTACTTTTCCCAGGCAGATTGGTTTGTGTTTCCCGGATATTTCCGTTAAACATCGGCCAAGGTTTATTAGATTTGAGTAATCAAAGTTTCCCTGAGCTCAAGTCCTTGTGATTAAATAATAGAACTGATAATGAAGTAAAATGGCATGAGCCAAGTCCTTATGATTAAATAATATAACTGATAATGAAGTAAAATGGCATGAGCCAAGGCGCACGACACATTATTTGTGCCAAATCCATGGTATGATGCATAGCTTCAAAATGACATGCATAGTTTGATAAAGGCATGCCAGGCACGTGGCACATGCAATTTATGCGATCTTAAATATTGCTAAATACCTCACTTAACCTTATACTCATTAAACTAAATAGCTACGATAAAATAAAATAAATTATGCCTTTAAAACTACGCAAATAAATCTAATCTCTATATGACATTGTGGGTTTAAAAAATTATAGTCTATTACAAAGTAAATAAGCCAATCAAAATATTTAATTTATGGCCCATCCAATGAACCTAAGCCCCATATCGACACAAAGCCAGCAAATCTATCAAACTAATTAATACTACTAGAACGAACCTATTTGTAGGTTAGGGACTAAAAACCCATCATTAGGCTTTCCTCATCTTTATGTTATAAGCCCTAATATGGGTCTTACAATAGATACACTTATTTAAGTGACCTTAAATTTGGGTTAAACTCTCACGTTAAAAAAAAACTATAAATCAAAATTAAATCCATCTATCAAATCTTATCAATTGCATACGCTTCTTCAAGTCAAACAAAATTTGTGTACAGCTAATAAATATTTCATTCTTCTAAGCACTTGTTGGTTAAGTCCAGTATCTCTGAAATGCAAGCAATTATGTTAGTGTCTTTGAACTATTCAGTGAAACTAATATGACCAACCCTTTGCCAGTAAATGATTTGGCATTATCCTCAAAAGCACATCTTCAACAAACATATTCAACCCGGTCTACTTGAAATATTTGAGAGAAGAAAAATTATAATTGCTAATAAAATTCCATATATTACAAAGATAAAAGACCTCTAATGTTAGTAGACTAGGTCCGCAGGTATAGTTGATATGACCTAACCATAAGAACATGCTCAAGTCTATCTCAAACCCCCCTAAACATTCCCATGAAATAAATTCAAACCTAAATATTTAATTTGACCATAAATGTGAGTCTAAGCAACCTCCTTATCGATAGTGCTCTTCCATGAATGAAAAGGAAAATTAACTAGATGGACTTATGCCCATACGAAGTGTCAACCTCGATCAAAATAAAGCTTAACAAAACAGTAGAGGAAATCTAGTTAAAACAAATCTAAGATATCTTATTTAAAACTACTCTTGAATCCTCTCTTGAATATTGAGAAGGCTTTAAAAGTGGGGTAGTTTTTCCTGAGTGATGGTCTCTCACGACCATCTATAGGTGTCCGCGGGTGGTAGAAGTGCACTAATCCCCTTGGTTGTGGGCTTCTAGGCAACCAGCGGACAAATCCCATATGGTAGGTGGTGCCCAAATTCTCTTTTGCTCATCTACCACAAACAATGGTGGATGGCAAAGTGTAAATGCAAAAGTGTGGCCAGATTTTCATCTCCTTTAAGTGCCAGTAGGTCCCAAGGAATTGTATGCCTAAGGTAGTGACTGCTCTGAGAATAAGGAATGTCTATAGCAACTTCGCATCCTCCAAACACAATTAATATCAACAACACTGGCGACAACAAGCTCAAAGAAAGCACTAAATTTCCAGGCACTGTAGACCTAAGACAATGAACCATTGCGTAGGAGCAAACCACTGGGCATTCTAGGCTCAAATGTGGCTTATCACAAATAAAGGCTGTGAACTGTTCAAGCCATATGTCCTTGAATGCCAAAGTCAACGAGGAATTTTACCCATAATAAGGCAGCCTAGAAATGGGACTCTTAACGTGTGTGGGTAGAAGGTTTAGGGCTTGGAATAATGGCTAAAGAAGCATAGGAGTCAGCTGGAACAACGGAGCTTCCAATAATCTTCAGAGACCATCAACATCAGAGGGGAAGGGGGAGCTTACTTACTGGTTCTTGGTAGGTTCCTTGGAGATGTAGAAAGACAAAGATATGTTTTAAGGCTGGCCTTCACCTATAGGTTCAAGTGTTCCAAATAAACGAGTAGCCAAAACACATCAAAGAAGATAATTAAAAGCAGGAGCCATACCATATAGAGTACTATTAATGAAGCCACAAAAACTGCAACATTTTTAAGTACCTTTTCTAAATCAGAACCACACTAATTCAAACTTCCTCTAGAAAGAGCATTCACTTTCATGCAAACATAACCGGATGAAATTCCTGTCGCAATTCTAATTTAATCCATTTTCTAGTTTTATATGTCAGAAAGAATGGATTTAATGCTTAGTACAGCACATACCTCACTCTGAAATCCTTCTGATTTAGCCTTTTGTCTAAGAGGTCATAGAAGGGAATTTTTCTGAGATCATTATAATCAATCAGCACCTGAAAAGAAAGTATTTGGACTTTATTTTATTGATCAAAATCAGGCAAAACAAAAAATGACAACATGTGAACTACACACCTTAATTGCCCTTGTTTTTTACCAAAAAAAGTGTCATCAAGTTGCAATATTAATAGTAAATAAAGTTAACAAGATTTCTCCTAGAAAAAAAGCCTTTAAGCTTATCAGAATATCTAGAAAGTGCTATAAACTTCGAAGGCAAATCTCATAATACAGTAGCAACCAAAGCATGTAATTATAAGTGAGAATATCTAATGTGGAAACTGTTAGAACTAGGAATTTTAGAGGGAAAAACTTGCCTTTAGTCAGTAATATCTTCCCTATTTATAGATCTATACAATATATCTTAACGAGGAAACAATAAATTACATAAAATCCCTAATATACTCTTTCCTAAACTAGTTCCTTCATTATGGCGTGATCCATGAGAGCTTCCCATGAATTGATCTCTGTGTCCATCGGATCCTTTGCATTGGGAACGGCTGGATTTCAACACTCCCCCTCAAGCTGGGAAATATGGAACTGTCATTCCCAGCTTGTCAATCATTCTGAGAAAGGCAGAACTGTCCAATCCTTTGGTAAGGATGTCTGCAAGTTGATCCTTTGATGATACATGGTCGACACTTACTAGACCACTGTCTAGTTTTTCTTTAATAAAATCTCTGTCCACTTCTATGTGCTTGATCCTGTCATGCTGGACTGGATTGTGGGCTATGCTGATTGTTGATTTATTGTCACAGTGTAGCTTCATGGGTTCGTCTCACTTGATATTTAGATCTTCTAGAATTATCTTGATCCATAATAGCTCACATATTCCTAATTCCATAGCTCTATATTCTGCTTCAACACTAGATCTTGCTACCACATTCTGCTTCTTCTTCTCCATGTAACAAGGTTTCCTTCTAGGAATGTGCAGTATCCAGAGGTAGATCTCCTATCTACTGGTGATCCCGTATAATCCGCATCAGTATATGCTTTTAAGGTTACTCTGTGGTCTCTTCTAAAGAGAATTCCTTTCCCTGGATTTCCCTTAAGGTAGTGCAATATTTTGTCCACAGCTTTCATAGAGCCTGTTATGGATTCTGCATAAACTGAATGACCATACTTACAACAAATGCTATATCTAGTATGGTGTGGAAAAGGTAAATCAATTTTCCCACAAGTCTTTGGTAGGCTCCTTTATAGATATATGGATCTTCTTTAGCTTCTCCCAATTTGAGATTCTTTTCTACTGGTGTCGGTGCTGGCTTACAGGCTAGTTTCCATGTTTCTTTCAGAAGATCTTTAATGTACTTTAGTTGTAAGATGAAGATTCATTTGTTGGAGTGAGCTGCCTCGATTCCAAGAAAGTATTTTAGTCTACCAAGTTCTTTGATGTCAAATTCATTAATAAGACTTTTTCTTAGGCTATCTTTCTCCTTTTCATTATTCCCAGTCAAGATAATATCATCCACATACACTAGCAATATTGTGACTCCCCCTAAGTCTGAATGTTTAAAGAATAGTATATGATCCCCTTGGCTTTGTTTATACCCATTAAGGAGCATAAACTTAGAGAACATTCCAAACTAGGCCCTTGGTGATTGTTTGAGCCCATATAGGGCCTTTTTTAATTTGCACACCTTGTTACCTCCATAATTTTCCTTAAATCCTGTTGGTATTTCCATAAATATTTCTTCTTCCAGATCTCCATGTAGGAATGCGTTTTTACATCCAATTGTTCCAGATGCCAATTGAACTTAGCTGCTATTGAGAATAGAATTCTGACAGTGTTCATCTTGGCTACTAGTGCAAAAGTTTCATGGTAGTCAATGCCATATGTCTGAGTATAACCTTTCGCCACTAGTCTTGCTTTGTATTTTACCAGTGTGCCATCAGTTTTGTATTTCATAGAGAACATCCATTTGCAGCCGACTGATTTTTTTCATGTCGATAGATTGATGATCTTCCATGTCTTGCTCTTCTCTAGGGCCAGCATTTCATCTTTCATAACATTTATCTAATTTATATCAGATAGTATATAAGAAATATCATTAGGAATATGAATATCATCTATTGTAACCATGAAGTTTTTGTGTGGAGGAAAAATTATTGAAGGATATGGAGTTGGTTATAAGATATAAAGGAAGTGAAGAGTTTACCTTACTTTTAGGAGATGGCTCAGATTCTTGGATCTGCTTCGGAGCATATGTTGAACTTGTACGCCTGCAATATACCTTCCCAAATCTAAGGATAGTTTTATCTTCAGCTTCCTCAGTTTGAGTTTCAGGAGGATTGGTTTGATGTGGTGCCGGAAGGTCAAGAGGTGCAAGCATACTTTCATCATCTTCGTTTGTTTCAATATCCCCCTGAAGATGAGGTTTGGTAAAGTAGGAGTTTTGTTCATCAAAAGTGACATCAATGATACAAACATTTTCCTTGTAGGGGGGTGATAACATTTGTACCCTTTTTGGGTGGCAGAGTATCCAATGAAGATACATTTGAGTGCCCTTTGATCTAGTTTTCCTCTGTTTTGGCTGTAGATGTGAACATAGGTAGTGCACCCAAAGATTCTAGGTGTAAGGTTATTATGTGTTTGAAACTCGGGATAAAAGGAGGGCAAAATATCCATTGGAGCTTTCATTCCCAAGGTTTTTGACGGTAGTCAGTTTATGAGGTAGGTGGTAGTTAGGAGAGCTTCTCCCCAGTAAGATTTATGTATAGTATGGTGGAGTAGGAAGGCACAAGTGGAGGCTAGGAGGTGACCATTTTTTCTTTCCGTAACCTCATTTTGTTGTGGGGTGTGAATGCAGGAGGACTCATGGATGATACCTTCACTTTGAAAGTAAGAGTGTAAGGTTTGGTTGAAGTATTCTTTAGCATTATTTGAACGAAATCTCTTTATTTTGATCCCAAATTGATTTTGGATCATTGTGTGAAAAATGAGAAGAATTGTGCTAACATCAGATTTATTTTTGAGGAGATAGATCCAAGAAACCCAAGTGCAGTCATCAATGAAAGATACAAACCAACGAGCCCCCAAGATGTTGGGGATTTTTTAGGGTCCCCATATGTCACTATGAATGAGATAGAAATGAGTATTGCGTCTTTCATTCTTGTTTGAAAAGGAGTTTCTTTTATGTTTGGCTAATTCACAGGTTTCACAATGAAATTTTTTATTTTTCATTTTTCAATTTATGGAAAAGTTTTGGATAAATATGTTTCAAGACTTCAACTGATGGATGTCCTAATCTGAAGTGATTAAGCAAATGGTAGATTTCTTGTCAACTAGGGATAACATAGAATAGCTAGATTTGTTTGGCTCTTCTAGGTTGTACAACCCACCTCTCTCTTTAGCAAGTACAATTGTCTTCCCCGATTCCTGATCCTGAAATAGGCAAAAAGTAGGGTTAAATAAAGCTTGGCATTTATGGTCCCTGGTAAGTTTTTGTATGAATATAAGATTTGTGGATAATTGAGGAACACGAAGCACATTGTTTAGAGTAAGGGAATGGGATAAGGGTATGTCTCCTTGGCCTTCTACTTTGACAAAAGAATCATCAGCATTGACGATTTTCTTGTCCATTGGGCAAGGATCATAATTAATGAAGTGGGTAGTGGAGTTTGTCATGTGATATGTGGCTCCTGAGTCAATGATCAATATTCCTTTAGAATGATTTATATAGGTACTTAATTCGGTGAATATGGGAAACTTACTTGAAAGTGAAAGAGAGGGAGACGCAAGAGATTTTTCAAGGGATACCAGGAGTTGTCTAAGCCTTTCAATGTCTTATTTATTGAAGTTTTGGGATGAGTTTTCTTCAGACAGAAGCCTCTAATTACCCAGATCAGTTTCTAACCAGAATCTAATAGCACTAGCTTAGCGTAGGGAAAGACGCTGAATTACTAGCGGCAACAAGCACCCATAACGTTTAGGCACGGAAGCGGAAGCCTGAAAGAGAGATTTTTTCTTCTCCCCTTTGACCTTAACCGATTTTTTACTTACTTGTATTTTAGAAAGAAAAGTCCAGTGAACAGTCTCTTTTTAGATTCATCACAGTCTCGAGATGAGTGCTCCACTGCTTAACCTGAACTGCCTTCCTGTTGAATCTTTTTTGAATTGTCAATATTTTTGTCAAAGGTTTCATTCACGCCTAATTCATATCGAGTAGACCTTGTTGTTGAGAATTCGAATTCAGTTTCAATTAGACTAGGAGAACATCAAAAGCTAACAGCAGGAGAGCAGGCAGTAGACCTCCCAGATTCCTGCTTGCTTTCAATTAAGGAAAGTCAACAGATCATGGTTTCGAAGGTCATCCATTACGAAAAGACTTTCCTCTGAGTGGATATGTGGAAGTACGCTATGATGATCCAGAGAAACGTGTAGTTTCTGAACCCATTGAGATGACCCAAGAATTTCGCTATTTCGATTCTGCTAGTCCTTGGGAACAGCGTAGCGACGGATAATTCATAATATCACAAGATTATATCAGCAATAAAGGCTGATTATATTAGCAATAAAGGCTAATATTTATAGGGTTTTAATTAGGTCTCAAGTCATGATTGAATCAGGTCTTCTGATTCTGTCTTAAGGGTTGGAAAATCACGTGAGGTCTCGCACGAGTGAGGGCTCTCGAGAATTCCGTCCCACTAGCTTCTCCACAGCGAAATACTGTGTATAGTCGTCCAGGCTTTGTCCCACATCTTCCGTCGACAAGGTTCCGTTCGCAAGGAGCGTCTAAGCGCCGTCTTCAAGTGGCTTCTTCTTGTCTTCTGATGTCCGAGAGAACATCTTCTCCCGTGCAGCTTCTACCTGAGCTCGATTGAGAGATACAGCTAGGGTGGCTGAGAGTTGAGCGACCCTTCTTGCGTCTAGGCTTCGGGTTCGTCTTCCGTTAGGCTCCGGTAAGACCTCTTCCCTCAAGCGGCTTCCAATTTACTCTTTTTTTTCCTCCTTCAGCAATCTTTCTTCCACGGCAATGAAGGCCGTTGGCTCTGATAC